ATATCGGTAACGCGCGCAATAAACGATAGTGACAAATGTGTCGAAACCGCGATCGTAGTTATCGAAACGCGCGTGCACGCACCCTCCGTGCGTTTTCACACCCTCGACGATACGTCACGCCGGCGCGGCGCACGGTCGGTCCGGCCGAGAAGGGTTGCTCGCGCTCGCGCGGCCCTTTCTCCCTTTCGCTCACCCCGTGGCTCGAAAGATTTCTAATTTATTTCACTTTAAAGTCCCCGCGCGCGTATATACATATAAGTATGTATGTATAAGTGCGAGTGGAAAAGAGCCGCGACGCACGCACGCACGCACGCACGCACACACACACACACATGGTCGCATGTAGAATGGAAAACGGCACGTATGGCGAGGACGACTACGTGTCACCCTTTTGCCGACTCCAATAGCGTGCGACACGTGTGTTCTCGCGACAAGTGGCGCGACACCCGGCTCACGCACACACGCATCCCTTCAGACGCACGCGCGCGCGCGCACACGTACGAGGTGTCGTGGAAGTAGCGTGTCTTCCCAGCGTGTTTTCTGCGGCTTTCAGGAGAACGCTGGATGTCGCTGGAAGCTCGAGGCTCGCAGAGCGGACCGGAGGATCTCGGCGAGCGAGGAGAGGGGCGAGAGACTTAAGCTTGCCGTTGAAAGCTCGAGAGATCGCCCCGCGAGATTCGCGTTACAAGCGTCCGCAGCACCGCAACGTCGGTGACGACGACTTCCTGCGAGACACCCTGTGCATTTCGCGCAGACCGAGCCCTTTTTACGCGATATTTTAAAGCAGCAGCGTCCCGAGACAATATCGCGCCCCTACCGCTACTTCGTCTCCGTCGTCTTCCGCGGCCTCCGTCCGTCTTCCTCGCCGCGGTACGCCTACTCGCGCGAGCGTTAACGCGCGCGCGACCCTCCTTCCTGGCGCTCGGCTCTCCTTCTTCGCGTCCTCCTCTCCTTTCGCCGTCTCGTGTCCTCGCAGCAGCCACCGGGAGAACAGGACAGCTGCCGGCCACCAATATTACGCACGCGTATATCACGGCGCGCGCGCTCGCGTTCGGGATTTTCAATTTTAATATTTTCCTACATCGAGCCCGGCCTTTACGAGCCGCTATATCATAACGGCGCTTCTCCGCCCGCTCTTGTCCTCAACTCCGGCAGGGTGAGAACGGGCGGGAGGAGCTCGCAGGAGCCGAGGCGCGCGTATTCGAGGATATTTCGTCCTTCGACGAGCGGGCGCCACGCACACGCTCGAGAATCGGCAGGAAGGCAATATCGTTCCTCGCGATCCATCGTGTAGACATTTTTTACGTGTTTCTCGTACCTTCTCCACGCGGTAAAATTTCGCCGCCCGCCGGCTGTCGGAAATAAGCGACACGCGTATTTTTTTTCTTTTATACGCGATGCGTGTCGGAGGGATTCGAAAGTTGAGACCAACTCGACAGCGAACGAAGCTTCGCTTCGTTTCGAACATCGCCGTGGCGGACTCCTTATCTCAAATAAAACAAGCTCTTTGCACCGATGCAGAAACGATGCAGATCTCTTGTGTGTGATTGTTATTATTGCGTTGGCCGCGCAGAAGTTGCGTCGCGTTTGTCGAATAAAACAGGAAACGAAATTGTCCAATTCTGGAGAGGATTAGTAATCACCGGCAAATAAAAGGAACATCGATTTGGTATTTTTTTAGACATCTAATGAGGGCTTCCCGCTGTCGCTCCTGATATCCAAAATTCCTACGAGAATTTAACGAGAGAAATGCCGAATCTTTCGTACCAAACTAATGCGTATCGATTTGCAACTCTCGTATCCAATTTTCTGAATAAAATATTTAGCTTACTTCCGACAACCTCCACTCCCTGATGTAGATCGAATTTCCGATGTGCCGCGTTTTCCTCAAAAATACCGGAGAAATAATTATTAATCGACACTATCGATCGCGTTGGACTCGATTGCGACCACCGGAAAGCAACCTCTTTCTCTTTCGGCCTTCCGAAAAGCGCGACATCGATTGACTTAGCCGGCATTTCAAGCGAGCGAGCGACTCGTTTACCAGAGCAAGGGCTATCTTACGAACGGATCAGCCGTTGCGCGAGGAGGCAGATCCCGGTCGCGTCTACGGAGTCTAACCGGGGGCAGAATCACCATTGTCGCTGGCTGTCGTGCGCCCGGATGCAGGCGCCACACGGGCGGCTTACGCGAGCCCTCGTGAGGACGAGGACGAGGAGGGGCGAGAGACGCGGTCGCTGTTTTTTGCCGGGATTAAATGCAAGCCGATGCCGCGATAAGCCGTAGAAAAGCACGGATGGAAGCGGTACCGGTGACAGATTATACCGGTGACTGCGATCCGCTTCGCCGTCCGCCCGCTCTGACACCGCCGGGGTATTAAAAAAAATCGCAGGCGACGGAACCCGCGGCGAATTCTTACGATAAGGGGCCCCGGGCGTGAAGGCACAGAGTCGCCGCTCGTGGGACAGCCGCTGGCCCGAGGAAGCGGCTCGCTCGCGCTATGATTTTTCACGCTAAAAGCACCATCAGTCAGTTCGCCGTCAGAAGCGCGCGTTCGGCTAATATCGAATATTCCGAGACTCGCGTGAGAAGGTAAGTGCGTGAGGGCGCAGGAAGTAAGGGGTGAAGATCGACGGAGGCTTTGTAGTCGCGCGGAATTTCGAGTTAACAACGTCCCCCGAGGTGCCGATACTGATCGTTCGGTCAGCGTCAATCACGACGATTTATCGCGGCGACCAAATAAACGACAATTAATTCCGCCGACGGCAATCGCGAGAAGTCATGGCGCTGTTCTCTTCCGCCGGCGCGGGGCGTAGCCTTCGCGCGATCGCGAGACCATCATCTCCGCCCGGCCAAGATCATCCCTCGGGACCCTCGGGACCCTCGGGACGACCGTCGTCGAAAGGATGAACGCATCGCCGGCGTATTGCGAGTGGCGGATATTAGCCGCGGATAAGACCGTCGGGGACCGCCGGGGCGATTCCGTGCGCGCCACCGTCCACAGCCAGGGGGTAATCGCGGCGCGCATCCCTCCCCTTTTTTTTCTCTTTTCACCTCTTCCCTCGCTCTCTACGTCCTTTCATTTGCCGCGGGATTGGGGGAAAGCCCGGTGTCCGGGATAAGCCGTAGGAAAGCGCGGCGGGAGCGATGCCGGTGACAGATTACGCCGCGCCGCGCGATCCGCAGTCTGGTTCTAAAGCCGCGCGCCAGCGGAAAAAAAGCAGCGAGGATTCGTCGAGGACAGATCCTCGCCCGGCTGTGGATTACCTACTCTACATCGGTACGTACACGAGCGCGACCGTATTCATTATATCCGCCGTTAATCCCCGAGCAACATCGAGTCAGCCGAACGGATCGTCATCTCGGAAAGATACGAAAATAGAGACGCGTGTACGCGCACGCGTCGTCGTGTTTTCTTTCCTCCTTATCGCGAGATTGTCTCGTATCGAATGTCCTTTATCGCGCAGATCTCTCGTCTGTCACCGAGTCGCCTTCTCCTCTTCTCACGCGCAATCTTTTTCGCACGACCCGCCTTGCTGTCAATTGCTCTATCGCAGCTCTAAGGGGTTGCTGTCCTTCCCCCACTCCAGGCGGAAGGGGTTTAATAAATTCTACTTTCTGTTTCTCTTATCATCGATCTTTCTCACAGCTCTTGGCAAGTGCAACGTGCACTGTGTGACGAGCTTGCGCAGCAGTCAACCATGACGGGAGTCGAAAACGCATACGAGACAACTGCAACGGAGGATCCAACGGAAGCCGACTCTTAACAATCAGATTTACAATCAGATTTACAATACAGATAAGAATACGGTAAAAAGCCCATATTTACCCGCGTATCGTCACCTCGGCTATCGTTGTACCGATCGAAGGTGCGAGCCTGTCACAATCGTGACGGCTGTCAGGCGTGACGATTTGGCGCGCTCCTCAGCTTCTCTCGCGACCAGGTGCGCATCCGACAACACGACGTGTCCGACGACGACGGAAAGGCAGGGCGATTTTGTTGCTGTCCGGCGTAATGCGACGCCAGGGAGCCGCGCGACGGTGTTTGTCGCGAGCCGCTAACGAGCAAGCGCATCCCCCGTCCTTCACCCTCTTCCTCCCTCGCTCGCTCGGCCGCTCGCCCGTCCCGCATGCCGTCGTCTCGTGAAGCACTCCCGGCTTATATAAGTCTTATAAAGAGCGAAGCGGCGGGACCACACACATCCGATCCTATCTGCGGGCTTTTCTGTGCGCCTCGCCCGTCTCTCCTCCTCTCTGCCCTCTTTCCCTCTTCTTCCTGCCTCCCTTTCTGTTACACGCGGACTGTGACTCTCTCCGTTTGCTCTCCCCCTTACAAGTCGCCCCCTAAACCGACCCCGCTCTCCTTCTCGCATGTGTCCGGCAGATTGTACGCGATCGCGGTGAAGGCAATCGCGAGTACATGCTCTCGATTGTTATCCGAATGTGTTTGATACGCTTCACCTTGGCTGAATGAAACGGCCTTTTCGGAGGGAAGGACATTTCCCCCAGCAAAACTCGCTTCACGCGAAAGCGGCAAACTTTGTGCGTGATTTACTCACAGCGTCGGTCTCCAGATCGATCGCAGTTTTCTGCCGCTTGGAGAAATATATTTTTTTCTTTTTTGATAATGGAGAATACGGTCGAACACTTACCCCGTTCTGCGTCGTCCGATGGAAGCGGCCCATGAAAACAGAAAAGAGAAAATACGGAGGATTAAAATTAGTCGAAGGAAGCAATTGATTAAGAGAGGACAACAGATCGCTCGAATACTCGACGTGTGAGAATTATTTATTCCTCGCACGTCGCAACGCGACTCGATCGCGGTTTATCGATCGGACCGTCGCTCGTCGCGTCGGTCGCGAAAGTTCGGCTCGATTTTCCAGCCCTTTCGAGAGCGAAAAAGTCAAGCTTGACCGAAGGAAGATCGAACGTTTCGACCGGCTCGGTATAAGCGGTGCGCATTGAGCGATTCACCGTTCTCTCGGGGAAAAGGCACTCACCGTGGTCTCATTGACGCTCTTGATGTAGTCCTTGTACGTGCCCGCTATTAATTTCACGATGTTCTCGTCGCCGTGTTTGGCGCCCCAGTGCAATGCTGTCTGCAACAGGCACGAAGAAAGGCAGCGGTGATAATTCGCTCGTCGCTCGTTTAAATCGTCGGCTGCGCCGGTCTGCGCGCGGAGTCGGGATTACCGCGGAGAGTTATGCGCGACGGCGGGACGGGACGGGACGGGACGGGGCGGTCGCGGACGATAAGTAAAAAATGTATCAGCGGCGGGATTTATGCGTGACCGGCTGCGGGATTTTTCGGCCGGGTGCCGAAGGTGGCCCGATTGTGGACACGACGCGAGCAGCTGTAGCGTATTTTCGGGGTGACGCGCCGGTGAAATATTCGCGAATTAAGCGACGGCAGCGGCCGGGGTGTCAACCCGCTACGACCGGGATGAATGGGCACCGTCGCCCGCGTCGGCCGCGTTACTCGAGAGAGGAAGATCCCGTAGGCGGCAGTCGATTATGGCCGGGGCGGAGGAGTCGGCGGCACGGCTCCAGGAAAGCCGGAAAGAGCAAAGAGACGGAGCTTGAATTACTCCCACTTAGAAGCGCCAAAGTCTCGGAGGAGACGGAGGAGGAGGAGGAGGAGGAGGAGAAGAAGGGTGGAATTCTTGGCTCGGTCGTGGCTCGAGAGAGAAAGAGAGAGGGAGGGAGGGAGAGACAGTGACAGAGCCGACGCGCGAATATTTTGCGAAATAAGGGGGAAGAGAGAAAGGGAGAGAGAGAGAGAGAGAGAAAGAGAGAGTCCACAAAGGGGTACAAGTAATGAAACGTGCCGCGAGAGAGAGAGAGAGAGAGAGAGAGAGAGAGAGAGAGAGAGAGAGAGAGAGAGAGAGAGAGAGAGAGAGAGAGAGAGAGAGAGAGAGAGAGAGAGAGAGAGAGAGAGAGAGAGAGAGAGAGAGGGTGTGGCACGGGGGAGACAACGGATATCCGGAGCGCGTGGCGACACGGATGAGTGGGATGGAGAGGAGGAGGTGAATTGAATGATAATTAATCAGACGGCAAATAATCGGGCGACAATTTGCGGCGGAGCAGCGGTAACGCTCTTCCAAAGTATTTTCCTGAAAAGGGGCAAAAGGGGGCAGAAGGAGCTCCCGTAGTCTCTCTGCACCGCCGTCCACCCTGTGATTAATAATCACCGGCGAGAATCTCGCGGTTACTTCATCACGGCGCCGTTTAATTACCCCCATCGTGCATACATCGCGTTATCGAACGCATACCGTAACCCGACTGCGACCGAGCGCGATCCCTTAGCCGGAGCGGGCTGGAATTAGCGTGGCCAGATTAATCACCGAACCGCCGCGCGACGTCAACTATTAACGTGACACACGCACACATACGCCCCCTCATACACACACACACACACACACTCTCGCTCTCTCTTTCTCCGTCTCTCTCTCCAATCCGAGGGGTCGCGCCCTAAAAGGCATACACGTTTTTCGCGTAGAGTCGGCGGGGGTGGTAAGCAAGCTTTCGTAGCGCGACATGCGTTTTAATTCCATCAAGTCCGCGTCCCGCGGGTAGATTAAAAATAGTGTCGACGGCAATGAGAACGAGAGAGGAGGAAAATCTCTCCGGCGGGAGATCTGCGTCACAGAAGCTGCCCTCGCGACCCCGAAGCAGACCGCCGCGCCGGTCAGCCAGCCAGCCAGCCAGCCAGCCAGCCAGCCAGCCATCCAGCCAGCCAGCTAGCTAACTGGAATCTCGTCTCCTGACCCCGCGCCGGACGGCGCAGCGACTGCAAGTCGCGGACCACCTCATTAGCGGACGGGGGAAAAAAGCTCATTCTAACGAGGCTACGTACCTAATGACTGGAACCACGCGCGAGCGGCCGGCTGAACGTGTACGTGAGACGGATCGCGCGTTGCCCGCCACACGTGGTCGGCTCTCGTATCTGCGCGCTACGAGGGCGTGGGTACACCTTGCGCGCGGTGAACCCCCCCCCCCCACCCTGTTCATTTTATATGCACGGTCTCCGCGGCAAATTAACAGACGACGCATCGGACGACGAGATGTACACGACGCTCTCTCGTGATATCGCGTCGCCACGTGGCGCTAATAACGTCGGTCTGCGGGAGGAGGAGGAAGAGGTGGACGACGACGACGACGACGACGACGACGACGACGACGACGATAACGACGAAGGCGAGGAGATACAAGACGCCGCGTGAGATCGATCGATCGGCTCATCGAACTGGCGATCGCTCACCTCGAGGAAACGACCGGGCGTTAACGCGATTAAAAAGTCCTCGCGCTGGAATGCAGATCTTAAAAGTAAAACATCCCCCCGATCGACACCTATCCTCGATCGGGGTCGCAGATAATGGCGAGCGGCGACGGTTCGCTCGGACTACTGCGGTTGCTCGCGGAGAAATTTTCCCCGCCCGCGATCGAGGATTTTCACAGCTCTCGCTTGGAGCGCGTGTCCTCACAAGTCCGCGGATCCTGCCTGACAGTTTCTATAATTTTCAATCATAGACTCGTAGTGAAATTCTCGTTCTTCGAAGACTGCAGACTCTGTCACTCTGTCGGTAAATACCGTCGCGAGGCGGCAGGATGAAGTCGCGAATGAGGCGTCGAGAAATGTGCAAATCGATCGATCGCCCTCGATAATCTAAATGTAATGGTAGCCTCGCGTTTCCGGCAATTCTCGCGTACGAATCGCCGCTCGAGTTTCCCCATGGCGCAGCTTGACGCGCAGTTTCGCGCGCGCGCGTATTACGGGAAATATCGACGAGCGCCATGGTATACGGTATTCATGCACTCGGAGCGAGTAATGGATGTGCGGTGCGGTGGTCGCTGTACAATTATTAAACGTACCGCGCATAGCGCGGGCCGGCGAGCCGCGCGAGAGCGGAGTCATTAACTGCGAAGTGCGCGGACACGGACCCGTCTAATACCGCGCCGGTCCGCGCGCTGGTGAAGATGCAAGAATCCGGCTTGAATTACACGCCGAGGCGCAAAATGAATTTTTACGGTGGTCTCGCGGGGCCATCAGCGCTTATGTGGGTATACCCGCGGGGACCCCGGCCTCGCCGGCGGACGTCTACTTTCCCGGCGTGCTAACGAAGTTTTATGAAGCGCGATAGCGCCATACCTACGCCGCCGCGCGCCGTGGACTTTGGCGCTCCTTAATTTGTGAATGCTGCTGGCGCGCGGCGCGCGGTGTCGGCCGTGCGCCGCGCCGCAAAAGAATGGTATGTCGGCCGACAACGTGATATATCTTCGGTCCTCTGCCCCGGACCTTCGGCTGGGAAGAGTATAGGTGAACGCGGCGGCGAGCCGCGTTCTCTCTACGGTAGCCTTCTCCTCGATTCTTTTCCCCGATGCGGCGCGGCGCGGCTTAAACTTTCTTCGCCACGGAGAACGCGTGAACGCCCGAACGGCGTGAGAAAGCACGCGGTATCGAAGTATATCGTAGCCGACCCGCCGCTCTCGCTCTCTCTCTCTCTCTCTCTCTCTCTCTCTCTCTCTCTCTCTCTCTCTCTCTCGTCCTCCCCCGGTAACACCGCGGAAAAAGGGACACCTCTCGAACGAATCGGCGATCGGGCTGGAACTCTGAGGCTGGAATTCGGAGCTTGTCGCGAAGCTTTCCCTCCAGCCGGAACTCGCGAGAAGTGGAAATCTTGCAATTTGAAAGGAGGAATGTCCACTTTGTGCCCCGCCGGGAACAAAACTGGCGCATTCGTCCAGCGCTCAAATTTTATTCTTCGACGTTCGCCGTTCGCTTTGTATCTCGCGAGAAAGGGAAAGATGGGCTTTCTTTCACGTCGAGGTTCGACGAGGAGGACGGCGGTGGTCGTCGATAGTTGCGCCTCTGAGTCCCGCCGCGACTCCTGTTTCTTCGCCTCGGTATTAATTAATAGCGGCATGCATGCATGCGTGTATACATACATACATACATACATACATACATACATACATACATACATACATACATACATACATACATACATACATACATACGTACGTACGTACGTACGTATGCACGTGCATACATATGCACATCTAATTTTTACACTAATTAGAGCCTTAATTAATGTGCGGTGCTGTAGCAGCCGTCCCGGCGCTAACACGATCCCGACCGAGATGCAAGAAGGCTACCGACCGTGACGGTTATAGTGGGCAGAACCGGAGCACAATGTGTTAACGTACGACAGTGTCACTACCGCGCCGTAGCGTGGCTCGCTACGGAGCGAACGGAGCAAGACGTTCGCAAATGAGCCGCTAATGATCGGCGAACTAAACTTTTGCCCGCGAACAACTCGATCCGCGTATAAACGAAGAAGAAAAAGAGACACAGAAGGAAAACCAAAAGAGAAGCACCAACCGGTGACGATTGATCCAGGATACGATAATCCTCTACTCTAAACCCACATGCGAGATCCCATCATCGAGGAAGCTCACGAGGTCTCACCCCGGTCGCACGAGACTCCTCCTCCAGCGAACCGCGCGATTTTCTTCCCTACTTTCGTCGACCCCTCGTCCTCCTCCTCCTCCTCCTCCTCCTCCTCCTCTTACCGCTCCTGCTTCTTCCGTGGGACCCGATGTCGCCGTGACGACGTATGCACGCCACATGTGCGCGAAACTACGTAGACACCGGTTATATAGTTGTCTTCCTGCGGATACTGATTAAGCCGGACGGAGGAGGCCGCGGTCGCGTCGGGAACCCAACGGCAGCGGCAGCAGCAGCAGCAGCAGGAGTAGCAACCCTCGCAGTCGCAGCAGCAGCAACAAACGACACTAACAACGGCGGAGAGCGAGAGCGAGAGCGGGAGCGAGAACGGCAGCAACGGCAGCGGCAACGGCAGCTACCGCGGCCTCTGATGTATGCGAGCGATACAGATATCTCCGGGAAGGAATTTGCGTTGAATTAGCGTATAATCGGCGGGCCGATCTGCTCATACGGAATCCCGCGGCCCCGCTTACACGTGTCCCAAGAGCTGTATTCTCTGCGCGAACACAATATTTAGTGGCCGTCGTGGCCGCAGAACGGCGGCGTCGCCGGGTTCCTCCTCTCTTCCTCCACCTCCCCACCCCCTCCCGC